GTACAACTAACTCCCACCAAAGTGAGTCTTGATGCGATTTGTTACCCCTCTTTTCGTAATCAACAGCTGAACCTCCTCCCTCTCCAACGCGCTCCTATCTCTTCCTCGACTCTTTTAAAAACTTGGGTGTCAAGGGTGTTCGAGGTAGGTGGGGGGGACGGCTCTTAGCTATGTAAAACATAGTTGAGGATAGGGAGGGGACAGGGAAAGGGCATATAAAGCGCATGAAACGTGAGAAAACAACAATCTGAGAAATCCACTCTCACTTCCTGAGATTGGGCCAACGGGTTAGTTTGACCACATTTTCTGTACTGGAGATTTTCTGACCCTGAATTGCCTAAAGTCCTATTGTTTGGCACTCCAACGCGCATATCTCTACTGTCAATGAGCACTGGGGCGTCCTCAATGGCCATTAGAGCCCGCTTCGGAAAGTGCGGTGTCAATGAAAGAAAATAGTACTTTGAATTCAATACTGTGCACATAGTTGTTGGAAGGTCCCACCCGGGGAGGTGGCGGCAGTAGGGGGGGGGGGGGGATGGACCGGTGGTGAAACTAGGCGCTGATAGAATTTTTGAGTTGTTTTTTTCAAGTGTGCGTGCGATGACCTCATACTGTGTCTACTCTAGTGAAAAATGCTATTTTTTGACAGCTGATCAGAGGCATCGTCTCCCCTTCCTCCTTTCCTTCCCACACTCACTAAAAGACCCCCCCGCCCACCACACCTTGACCAGCGAAATTGTGGAAAAAGCATGCGGGAGGCATGAATGCGGAGCGATGAGGGCCCAACAAAACCCCGTCATCAACTAACTCAGACATTTTATCATCAATTCCCGATGATGAGATGCCTGAATCCTGCATAGAACCTGACTGCTTCATTGACTGTTTTAGCCAATCCATCCAAGCAGAGAGTTCAAAGATAATCTAGCGCTAAAATCTCAAATATTTATGGTGATCAGAAAGCGCAATTTTTCAGGATGAAAAAGATAGTGCAAAAAATGTAAGCATGAAGAAAGTGGCGCATAAGAAACTGGATAGTGCCGGTGCTTATCGAAGAATCACGGGCATAATCCCACACACGTATGTCATTTAAATCGACATGTGCATATATTTCGGAAACATGTGGGGGCGGAATTCTGATAGCACACACATACATACACCGCTCAATGTGATTCATTAACTTGCAACCAAACCCAGAGGTTCGAGAGCTCGGTAGCGTAAGGTGCGACGAACTTGAATAACCCTAGAAAACTCCAGCTTCGCGTTCTCGAGAGATGGTGGAGCGTAATGCTTCCTTGCGGAACTGTAATTGTACAATGAACAACATAATCAAATCGATGCGCAGTTCTGTGTTTTTACGTCTCCAGAATACCAGTTAGGCGTAGTGAGTGTAAATGGCTTGAGCGAAACTTTGACCCTACTACAGTTGGAAGTATTGACCTAATGAGCTTACGAAGCTTGGCACAGACAGGATAAAGATGGACTCTGCAACCGATCACATGAAATCAACAGCTCCCTCTCAAATAATTTGGCGTAAATAACCTCGCCGGCGCAAAGGACCTTTGCGCAGGGAACCTCGTGCTGAACTAGAATACAGTAATGCGTATGAGGATAAAAAGCACTTTAAAGACCCCTCCAAGGTTGTTAGCGCCAAGAACTTCCTGGACATCTGGATGAACATAGCTCACATGCAGTAAGACAGCAGAAAAAAAATGTTTGAAATGTTGACCACGGTGTTCAGAATTTGAACAATACGAAATTTAAATGAAAAACGCCATGAAATCCGAAAGTTAAAAATAAGATTAGCTGACTGCTCGATTTCGAACCGAAAAACAGTGACCTTGGATGTTTTCGCAAAATTCTACTACTGATGCCATCGGTGAAAGAATAAAATGAAAAGGACCAAACATAGGAGCAGGTCAACTCCCATCTCAGGATAAGCTACGCACTCGAGTTTGATTTGGAATCTCACTCAAGAAGCACTCAAGCTCGCATGCAGCTCTGAGTGGGGACCTGCGTGTGATGAGTATACTGAAATTTGAAAGGCTGTTTACAAGTAAAAGGATGAAGTCTCCGCCGGGTTAACCTCTTCATGGGATGCGGTACGCATTCCACTTCCATTCGGAATTACAGTGGCTTACCGAATGCGATGTGGCCTGAACAATGACTTGCGGAGGCCACTCGACTAACCAGTCAAGGTCTTCCCAAACGAATTGGTACGCATTGGCCTAGGCGGGAGTCGATCCTTGGCCTAGGCGGGAGTCGAGTGAATTTAAGCCCCAGCCGCATGTTAATAAGGCCCCTTGCACCACTTCATTAGGCTCCCCCTCGAATAGGTGCCCACTCGCCTCATCTCCATCACGGTAGTTACGATAAGCTGAAGCTTTCAAAGCCCTCAACAGCCGACGAGAAGGCGGCTATACGCGCAGGCGCAGTTTGTCGACGAGGGGGGGGGGCATTCGGCTTTTCATAGATGTGCCGACCCATCTAGGTAGCCTTTTCTCGAGTTGACACGTTTTAGGATGGTGGCTAGACGATCTTACTCCAGCTTCACAGGCGTTCACAAGTTTTACCATGGTGAGATTCGTAAACCGGAACTAGGGAAGCAATGTTAGTACAAAATGCCCCCGTCGCTAAACAGCGCCTACGCGCAAGAAACCGTAAAAATCAAGTTAGAAAAAGTTCCATGATCGACTTCCCCCCCCCCCAGTTGCGGAGCTTGATCCTACCTTCTAAAAAATCAACATACGACCCATTCCCATCCCTCCCTTGGCTGGAAGGCTTCCAATGATGATTTACCCAGATGGGGACAACGCCACTCGTCACTCATTCCGTTTCAATGCAACCTTAAATACGCTTGTGTAAAAAGGACCTGTTCGGGGGAACCCAAACTCGGGCAAAAAGAGGAAAGAACGCTTCGAGCTGCAATATTGTTCGTTGGCAGGCAGTTATGAGCAACTGCCAGGTGTCAAAGATCAGGTGCGTCGATGAATGACGCGATAAGGTCGGTGGTGACCTTTGGTCTGGAGCTGTCAGGACCACCCAGCACATCAAACGAAGCTTCACACGTCTAAGTTATGCTTTCGAACGTGCATTTATGCAGAAAGTAAACAGAAGGCAACACGCGGAAAGGGATCAATGAGCGCTTGTCAATTAGGTTAATGGGGACATAGCCGGAATAAAGTTTCTTAAATCATCTTGCGTCAATGATGCCCAACCTTTAGCTTTTTGTATTTCTACTTTCATTTATAGCCAGTTTTTTTATGGATTTCATTTTTTATACTTCCACTTTTTTGATGACGACTTCTAGTTTTGAACTGGAGGTATAGGCATTGAGATTCGATCACTTCCCCCGCCCCTCCCCCCTCGCGACCACCGAAATCCGAAATTACGATAAGTCATGAAAGAAATGAAAACCAGTGAAATTGATATAAGGAACGATTCATTGGTCACCTTCTTTACTGCCTTCACAGCTTCTCCCTATCAATCTTCCTTCCTCAATTTCCTGTCATTGACCAATTCTAATGGTAAGAAGAGAACGCTGAAGCACTCGGGCGCAAAGCGGAACAATGCTGAATATCTCGAGACATCCAAGCGCGGAGCCGTAAGAGGAACGGTATCAATTAATAGAACAGAATGTTCCGTATACTTAGCTCTACCATAATGAATCCCAGAAACAGCATAGATGACGCAACTCCGCAGTGCACAAAGAAGCCTGCACGAAAATAGGGCGCAGTTTGTCGACGGGGGGGGGGGGGGCATTTTGCACTTTCGTTGCTTGACTAGTTCTGGTTCAAGTCTAACTCTGGTGAAACCTGTGAACTCTTTTGAAGTTGCAGCAAGCTCGTCTAGCCCATCATGGTAAAACCTGTCAATTCGAGAAGAGGCTGTCTAGATGGGTCGACACGTCGATGGGAGGTCGTCAATGTGCAAAATGCCCCCTCGTCGACAAACAGCGCCCGAAAATAGTTAGCGATTCCAGGACAGGGACAAGGTATCTATCGGGAGGTGTTACACGAGCTCTAAAGGTAATGGAGAGAGAAGAGAAGGTGAGGGAAAGAACGATGGGCAGAGCGTCGCCGCGGCCACACTTGCCCATCCCCCTCCTCCAAGGCTGACACCGCATGGGTAGGGAATCACTGTCTCGGCTGGAGGGAGCACACGAACACGCTTACAGAGGGAGGTCCACAAACAGACGCTGTCTTAAAACCCACTTCACACTGACTCGCCCCGTCGCTCGTTTGTTGACGGCTATATCTCATTTTCAGTCATTTCGAGCTGCCATCCTTCCCAGTTAGCGGCGCTCCGACGAAGACACTCAACTGAGATCCTTTTTCTCTGCTCAGCTCGGTCCCCCATTAAACACAGGGAGTGTTCAAGACAGCAAAGTAGCGATGATGACCTTGCCTCTTTTTTGCCAATCTGACGTTGTACTTAGTTACTATTTGCACATCATGAGGCAGAGGCGATTAATGGCAAGTGGCATGCTTGCCGCGCGCGAGGTCCGGAGACCGAATTCTGTATCTTCCGCCCAAGCCAACCAAGGCTTCCACCCTCCAGAGACGGTAAATTGGTACCAGATTCGTCTGGGAAGGATAAGAACACTGACTTGTACGGCGGTGGCCCGCAAGTCATTGTATAGGCCACATCGCATTTAATCAGCCATTACGATTCTGATGGAAGTAGAATGGTGCCTCATCCCAAATAAAATTCATCAGCGGCGAAGAATTTCGGACCTTATTTGCATATCATAACAAGCCTGAAACTGGAGGTCCACGGCAGTTCAGCGTGGGTGGGCCATTTTGTAAATTTGCTACTTTCCGTGGACGAGTCGACCCCTCTATAGAGCCATTAGGTGGGTTTACAGGAGTTGACAGGTGGCTCGTCAAGCTTACTCCAGCTTCACGGAAGCTGACAGGTTCCACCAGAGTGATACTTGTGAACCAGTGGAAGGGCAAAATGCCCCCCCCCGTCGCCGAACTGCGCCGAATTCCATTCCAGATTCAAGAAACTGTCGCTTTGGGAGCGCAAATGACGGATCTTGAATAACATACCTCACTAATGAGCAGAAGCAGAACAACCTCTTCTGTTCTCGATGCCGGCGCAAAATAGCCCTTGTGAGATCCCATATAGAAACTAAAAACAGCGGATTGCTTTGCCAAATTTGCACACTAAAAGGCCTCCAATGAAGCATTATTTCTCCGACGCATAAAATCTCATTAACCTTCTGGGACTCAACAGTAGACGAAGACAACTTTGCTCACCTCAGATTTTGGCTCTTCATGCTCACAGCCTGACTTGTTGTCCCGCCTCTCAAATCGGCGGGTACAGCTCGCATAAGAAGTTCCGCAAATTGACGCGACATTTTCTGTTGCAGTCGTTCTCCAGTGGATTTGTCTCCCAGGCATGTTATAATGCGGCGATACCTACACTATGGCATCGGGACACCGAAGGATTGACAAAAAAAACTGAAAATTCTACCATTCGATTCCTTCCACATTGCTCTTCCTCTCGATGGTGGAATCTCGAGCTCGTAACGCCGCTACGCGCTCCAGGCAGCACTCGAGAATCTCCCCTGGGGAAAATAAAAGAAAATAAGCAAATTACTCATACATAAATGAGGTAAAACTACAATACCTAGCCTCTCAGGTCGGGATAACGGCGAGGACGTTGCTACACTTCCTAAAGGATAAAACTTTTGATGGAAATTCTGAAAAAATAGCGCTTCAGATCACGGAGTGTCCAAAGTACGCACTGAACGACAAACTGACAAATTCTGGGATTTTCCACAGATAGAAACTGTATACCAGACCTTTTCCTGATCCACCAACAATATTTTTCTCGATTTCTCCAACGTACATAATGGCCAATTCAGCTGCTTTTTCATAGCAGAACAGAGCTTTCATTTTGTTGGAATCCTTCTCATGAGGTTGCATCGCCTCCAAACAGAAACCTTAAAGGTAACTATTACCAATGAAGCGGCACAATGTGGCGCCAAGCATATCTCCCCTCTCAAAAACTTTATTGGCCATTACACACTAAGGCACCGCCTACGTTTCGATTAGTATTTCAGGTTTCAACTCTTGACCCGAACTCAGTCCAATACATGCAATCACTTCAATCATTGGTTAAAATTTTGTGGTTAATATAAAATAAAAACTAGAAAAGATGAGACCTTTGATAGCATAAACCTCAGCAACTAATCGCAGAGCTCGCAGAGTACGAAAGGGCGTGTTGGCATGTTCCATCCCAGAATTTTCAATATCTCTCAGAGCCTGAACAAAAAACGATATCTTCGAGCTACTATAACTTGAAAATACTAACACTAAAAATACTAAAATACGAAAAATACTGAGAAGAAAACACCGAACCTGGTCGTATGCAGCACAAGCATAATGCAATTTTGCGAGCAATAAATGTGCCTCTAATACTGGGCCCTCACTGCGACGATCCACAGTTTCCTTGAGAAGCAGTTCGGCTTCCCGCAAACTGTTGGCATGGTCTTGACGTGGCCGAAGAACTTCTGGAAAAGTTCAGTTTTCTCACCTACGATCTCCAGTTCCCACTGAACCATCATTAAATACTAGTTTACAGCCGTGTCGCACAGACCGACCTATAGGAACCCGATGTACGAAATTTGTTGACCTTCTCGATACGACTAATTAGTTGTGACCTCTACAATCTGCGTGCGATTCTTAACTGTACAGGATGACCGAAAAGTTCTGACAATTTCGTGTTCGCGCGTTTTTTAGTGGTCATCATCGTCTCTTTTTTCTCTATAGGTTAATTGTATTCTGCGAGCAATTTCAATCTATTGAGTGAGTCACCTATCCAATCACTTTCGATTTCTCCTCTCAATGTCTCGAGTAAATCAAAAGGTCATAGTTGTTGAGATGCATCTTCTGGTCGGTGCTGGATGCTTGGAAAACATACTCTCCATCGACGGAAAATTTTTTGGCACTATTCAACTATTACTACCCCAGTTTTGCCAAAACAGGGCGGATCTTGATCGACTTTTTTCTACGAAAGCGGATTTGGCTGAAATTCGGGTTATAGAGGTAATTCGACCTCCTGAACACGAATATAACATCCATCTGGCCTGAAAGTGCATGGCGCCCGCGCCACAGGCGCCAGCGTATTGGGGCATTTTGGCGCCGGCGCCCGTGGCGCGATCTTCGAGCAGTTTCAGGCCGGATGTGATATTCGTGTTCAGGAGGTCGAACTACCCCTGGGTACAAGTTTTCAGCGGATTTGGTGATCCAGGGTACTTTGGCGCGGGCGCCAGGCATTTTCGGGAGGAACGGATGTGATATTCGTGTTCAGCAGGTCGGATTACCCCTAGAACCCAACTTTCAGCCAAATCTGCCCCCGCAGAAAAAAGTCGATCAAGATCCAGCCCGTTTTCGGAAAACTGGGGTAGTAATAGTTGAATAGTGCCAACTTTTTGATCACAAGCCGCAGTTGTCGTCAGCTCCTCAGAAAAGGTCAGTAGAAGGCAATGGCTGCGAAAACCGTCGGATGCAGGCTCTTTCCAGCCTTATTCATGATCTGAATTGGGATCTGTGCTGCCGAAAAGAAGCATCTGTCTTCATCGAGGGCCACCTTAAGACGAACTGTCAACTATCAACAAAGCATTCTTTGCGACGTACTGAAACCATGGGTGTCGCAGCACATCGGTCCAGATGGAATTGTGCTTCAGCAAGACTGGGCTCCAGCACATCTGCCAAATCCACGATTGCCGTTTGTGAAGAGCTGTTTCCGGGATTTTGGGGCAAGGACGTTTGGCCTCCCAACTCGCTTGGTCCAAACCCGATGGATTACTCCATTTGGGGCAAAAAATCTCAGGAATCCGATGGACCACCTGAAAGTAGCGTTGCTACGTGCTTGGGACGAAATTACAGTAGAAGAATGCGCGACCATTGTCGGACACTTCGAAAAGCGACTGAGCAAATGTATTGAGGCCGAAGGAGGCAATTTCGAACACATGTTGTGACTTTGTTGTATATTGTCATTGCTACTGGTTTGAAAGTAATTTTGAAAAATTTCCAGAACTTTTTGGTCATCCTGTATGTATTAGGTTGGCGGGAAAGTTCTGTCATACTTTTTTGAACCCAAGTATTCGCCTATTACCTGAAGAGGGCTAACCGGTAATGTGAGCATTTATACATTAAGGATTGATCTTTCTATTAGTGTCACTGGCTCGGCTCCTGCTCATCCTTATTCTGCATTATGGACCAAGCGCTTCCTTAAACTATTTCTTCTACCACCCTGGCGCCAGCATGGCAGCTGTCGACGCCGAAATAATGGAGCTGCACAAGGACAATGTCTACAGTCATCAGACAATCTTCCACGACGCTAGCTCTTCAGAGCGGGAGCCTACGGTTCGAATGACGAAGTGAGGTTCGGGAGTACCTGTAAACTCAGCTCTAGATAGCGGTGGGTCGGGAAACTACTGGATGAAGAAGCTGCCTCCTCGGTCAATCCGTACGCAAGGCAGCTACGAGATCTGAAGCGAATCGTCAAGCAGAGGGCAAAATCTCACGGCCAGTCCTTTCAACGGTGCTGGTGCAGCCACCCGCCGTCAAAAAAATGCTTCGAAGACTCCTGCCATGCGCAATAGAGCTGGATGGCTCTCCCCTTGCACCGGTGTAGTCCAGACATTGCTCTTTCTGACTGCTAGTCGCCTCCCGTATTCAACCGTTATACAGCCGAGAAAACCTCCACGACTTGAGCCCAAGTCAAAGTTGAGAATGATTTGTCACAACTTTGCGTCGGCGACCGCGGTGCAGTTGTTAAGCGATGGGCATCCACGAACTGTCCAAAAACTGGCAAGGATCTCTCAATAACATTGCTGTATAATTTTGATCTTGTACCCCTTTCAGTAAAAATAAAATCTCATTTGAAAAATGTGACAGAACTTCTCCGCCAACCTAATACTTATAGCACAACATGTCTCACTAACAACAACTGAAACCGAGCAGCGTCGCTCCGCTCATGCGGTGCTGGACTGATAAGTTCGGTTCTCTCAATTGGTTTTTTCGGTAGTTTTCTTGATATTCCGTCAAAAACGCTAGGTCTGATGACAACAATCTAGTCGAAACATCAGGCCATCCTACTATATATAGTCCCGCTAAGATGTCCTGTAAGTGTGTGTGTATGTTTGTGGGCTTTTCGTAATGGTCTGTCTGTCTGTCACTGAATTCCTACGAGACAAGAAAAAGCAAAAAGAAGGACGACAGTTCCAAGAAGGGATATACATGGCAGGACGGGAACACTTTTGGGTGATAAAATGTGATAGCATCTGATAAGGGGCCTTAGAAAGGGAGGGTGACCGAGCCCATAGTGCGGGACACAGTAACAGTGGGACATTGGTTCCAAGGTATGATATAGGACGTGGGACAGGAACATTATTGATGGGTGACAGGGAATGATAGCAGCTGATAAGATCCGTCAAGAGGCGTCAGAAGGGGAGGGTGACCGAGTCCATAGTGCGGGACACAGTAACAGTGGACATTGGTTCCAGGGTATGATATAGGATGTGGAACACGAACATTATCCATGGGTGACAGGGAATTATAGCACCTGATAAGATTCGATAAGAGGCCTCAGAAGGGGAAGGCCATCATACTCATAACGCGGAACACAGCATCAGCTAGGCATTAATTTCAGAAAATGATATAGAGTTGGAGATGGGGACACGGCACGTGAGGTGATAACAGCTGATAGGGGCTGATAAGGAACGTTGCCAATGCTGTTCAGTCAAATTGCTGGAGCCTTTCACTACCAAATTATAGAGTTTTAGTGATAGGGACATTGATGACGGGTGACAGGATCTTATCAATTGATAAGAAAGGATAAGGGCCATTATCATTACCTCTCTTATCACTATACCCCAAGTATCAAAGGCTCAGTGTGCATACTTTTCCTTTAGCCATCACTTCCCTGACTGCCCTAGAAAATGAACTTATCTTACTATATAATGTCGATGTCGACGAGCGCGGGAGGGGAAGGAGGGGGGAGGGGTATGCATTTCGCCTGGAACAGAATCCCAGGGAAATTCGAGGAGAACAAAAAAACATTTGAACGAGCGGATCGCATGCTAATTGAAAACGGAAGCCTTCATCGGTAGGCATTCCCGGTGCAAGTAATGGAAACGATTCACTTTCTGCTACTTCACTAGCGATCAGATTGCGCGGTATGCCGACTATATAGTCCTTTCAATTGAAGACGCGGTGGGCGTGCCCTGGGGCCTCGGGTTGGCGCGGTGCCAAAGTCGTTCTGCACCAGTTGTTGAAGCGGGCAAGTGACATTACTGTATTATATCCTTCTATTACTCGTTTTATACCACTTTTTGTCGTGCGATCTGACCATTATATCAACAAAAAGGCTGAGAACGGCTTCAACAGTGTGCACACTCATACTGGCTGACACGCCCCACCGGTCCGCAATGATGAGGACTGTACATTGTATCTGTCTACAAATTTATGTATTCTATGGGCGTCATGGCGCGGACTACACCGCTGCTGTAAATGGAAGCGCGTGCTGCGGGATCCTAAGCCTTGCTCTGTCTGTTACGATTCGATCACTACAGCGCCTTATGAGCAGCGCACTACCGAAAAAGTTCCGTTAAAATTATGGAGCCGCCTGGCGAAGCCAGGCCAGCTCGGCGAAGCCGAGCTCAAGAGAAGGAGGAGAGCACGGCGTTAGCCGTGCGATCCGACTGGTGTTCAATAAATGGTGCCTTTTCTTGGCAACTTGGCAGCTTCCTGGGGGCAGTGAACCTATTTGGCACAACGGTTCAAAAAAAACTGCAAAATTCACAAGGGTGCCGAGGTGCTATGAAGAGAGAAAAGGCAATATTGAACAAATGAGTAACCTCCTTGTTGTTCAAGAAACGTTTCCAGTTCTAATTCGGCTTCAACCAATTCCACCATGTCCTCCATTCCCGAATGCTTCGACTTCATGGCATTAAGGAGCTCAGCCAAACGTTTCCAATTACCTGGAACAACAAGAACAATAGCCGCCTGAAATGACTGAAGAAAAAGAAAGCTTACCATCGGCTCGTGCTCGATCAACTTCAGCTTCGAGCCTACTCCCACGAAGCTTTGTCGTCATTATTGCAGCCTGACGAAGCTCTCAGCTTTTGCAGGACTGTCGTTCAGCTGTGGACGTGCTCCGCTAAAATGTTCTATAGAGAATCCGTGGAATGATTACGGTAGAGACAATGACAATAATTTCCTCGAAGTGGAATAAGCTCCCAGTATAGCTATAAATGAAAGTTGTCATAATCGTGTTCACAATTGGTAGTATAGTTCGCCCTTGTCATTAATACTGGGATGAGCGTCGCTTCGACTGTATTCATACTTAGCGACTTGGTCCGATCTTGTGGCCAAAAGAGAAGAGACCGTGCACAGTCTGGCCGTGTGCGCTCTTTTGAAAGGTGACTGGGAAGGCAAAGAGATCGTTATTCCTGTGGCCTGTGAGACGGCATAGTGGGGGAGACTTACGGCTACTTGCGCCGCAGCGCTCCCCAACTCCCCCTCCCCCTTCCCTCATCCGCAACAGCACCAAATTTCAATGCTCAAGGCTCATGATACAATCGAATTACCAAGAAGTTCTGCGAGTTGGGCAGGAGCTTTAATAAAACAACCTACTACTATATTCACACATTAATTACTGTTACAAACATGAGAAAAGGTCATGTTGCCTTTCTAACTGTCACAGACAGAATGTAATCACATCTTTATGAAAATTTCTAAACTCACAAAGTAACGAAAAACAAGTCGAAATTAAACGTCCTACCAAATATAAACTCTAGGCAAAAGGATTACAAGAACAAAGGCATGCAAGACGTGAACTTATAGACCATACTGAGCTTAAGCCATTCCCTTGCCGCCTTCCATCTTTTGCAGGTGCTCCACCATGAAGTTGCTAGCATCAATCATTCGATTCACACAATTCTAAAACCACGACATGATACCATCAATTTAAAAATTACTAGCGAATACAACACAGTTTCTAAAAAAAGTGACAGTTGGAACACATAACTGAAGATGAGAGGGGGTTTACTTACGCACTTCCAACTGAAACGACTAAGGCTGCGTTTTTGCGGGACATTTGGGGTCTGACACCTATCCCTTCTTGGACAAGGGACACGACCACAATGCTCCCAAAAAGCCGATATCCTATCTTACGCTCGGCCGCCGCCACGTTCAAATGAAGTACATAGCCATGCCCTCCCATCTCCAGGATATAGAGAGTACAGCACATCCACTGGATTGGACACCTATCAAATCAATGTGGGCATTTTGAAATCAAATCAGACTACTTTCAAATCAAGTTGGACGTTTTTCATGTTGAGTTGGACACATTAAATGTTTCTCTGCTCGTACACGCAACTGGGTTTGAAAAGTGCACAGCTGGCGAGCGTTCCATTACACTCGAAAAAAAAGGCAAATTGGATTGGAATGGTATGTAATCCACTAAGAGTATGTGCCTGCGCAACTCCCATCGAAAACGACTGAAGCGGGCAAATTAGCGCTTGAAGTGCTACACTAATGCCTGCAAGAAAAAAGTAGATAAAAAGAAGTAGAAAACTGCGAAACCGATACCAAAGCTGTCCCTTGGTAACAATATAATTAACGGAAACTTAGTTTCTCCCGTGATTCGCTAGAAATATGAGACGGCCGAATCGCCTAAAACACGCGCTCTCTAGAAGCGCATTTTGAATCCTAGCGAAGCTTTTTACTGCTTCGCCATACAGGTTTGCCATGGTGGAACCGTTTTCGATCGAAACTTTTCAAACGACCCCTCTCATTTGAATGTGCGAGTAATCCGATGAATGTTCTCCGGTCTAGGGACACCAAGCGCTCCATACGGTACATTTTTGAACACTTACCTTGATCTTGAATACTATCTCAAGTCCAAAAGCTTTCTAAACCAACTCAAATGGCCTAATTGTTCTATACCTATTAGGTTGTCCGGAAAGTTCTCAGCGTTTTGAGTGTTTCACTTTAAACGATCATAACTTTCTTAATACTCATCGGATTTAATCGAAATAAGCACCATTCGAATCAGCACACTTTTGCCAATGTGACAGCAGTCGAGAAATCCCATCAAAAAAACTGGGTGGTCGAGAATCCACGAAATCCACGAAGGCTTTTTTGCCTGGTCCTGATTGATGAAGTATTTTCCAGCAAGGAAGTTCTGAAAATGTTTGAAAAGGTGATAGTCGGTTGGTGAAAGGTCTGGAGAATATGGCGGGTGAGGTAGAACTTCAACCCCCAATTCGTTCAATGGATAGTGATTTGTGAAACGTGTGGGCGGGCGTTGTCATGCAAAAGAATCGGACCCTTTCTGTTGACAAGTGCTGGCTGCAGCTGACGCAATTTTCGGTACATTTCGTCGATTTCTTCACAGTAGGACTCTGCTGTGATGGTTTGGCCTGGTGACAAAAAGTTATAGTGGATCACACCAGCCGATGACCACCAAACCGTGACCAGAATCTTTTTTTCGTGAGGGTTCGGCTTTGAAAATTACCTCGGTGGTTCGTCGAAATCCAACCACTGTCCGGAACGTCTCCTGTTATCATACATGATCCATTTTTCATCACAGGTGACAATTCGGTTCAAAAACGGGTCGTTTCTGTTGCGCAAAAGCAGTGAAGAAGAAACCTCGAGACGTGCCAATTTCTGCCGGTCACTCAAATTGTGGGGCACCCACTTGTCGAGTTTTTTCACCTTCCCAATGCGTTTCAGACCATCTGCAACAGTGGATTTGCCAACGCCTAGCTTTTCTGCAATCTCTCGAACTGTTTGGGATGGGTCAGCCTCCACAAACGCCTTCAAATCCTCGTCAGGTATTGCTTTAGGTCGACCGCTACGAGGTTCATCTTCAAGGCTGAAATCTCCAGAACGAAATTTGTCGAACCATTGTCGCACGGTGCTTTCTCCAACACTATTGGGCCCCCACACCTGGTTAATTTGTCGAGCTGTCTCGACTGCGGATTGACCCAATTTGTAGTTGAAGAAAAATATCGTCCGAAGTTGCTCTTTTGACATGCTTCAAAAAGTCTTGGGAGGGGTTTATCAAGCAATGGTGAAACGGCAATTATACCATCAGATAGCCAAAAATTCTCTTCAGGATGTACTACTGAGACTGAATGAGTTGTTCAATCAGCAATGAATGTATAAAAAAATAGTAACACAAAACGCTGAGAACCTTCCGGACAATAGAAGCGTTCCGAACCGGAATGCCCCAGTATAATACAACATTACTCAAAATTATATGAACCCTTTGCGAATGGAGATTTATCGCCACGATAAGCAAAAACACGCCCCTTGTTCTAATCCCTCCATACAAACAATTGATGTAATCACAAATATTCAAATGCGCGGCTAGTTCGCACGTGGAACTATCAACCATTTCAAACCCTATTTTAGCCATCACAATAACACTGATTTATAGGCCAGGACAGACTCCAAAAGGCTCGAACCCGTTTCAAGCCTAGCGGGCGAGTGCGCTATCATACTAAAACAGCTTAAGACATGGGGAAAAAGTCTTCAGCCTCGTTGCTCACTGCCGACATATGCTAATCGGCTCATCATGTTTAACTTGTGAGTGCTGTGACTGAGGCACAACAAGCCGTTGGGCGCAGTTTGGCGACAAGAGGGGAGGGGCATCACTAGTGATACTGCCCATCGACGCGTCGACCATCTAGACAGCCTCTTCTTGATTTACTGGTATTACCGTGATGGCTTGACGAGCTTGCTCCAGCTTCACAAGAGTTCACAGGTATCATCAGAGTGAGACTTGTAAACCGGAAGCAGTGAAGCAACGAAAGTTCAAAATGCCCTCTCGTCGCCGAACGCGCCAGCCGTTATGCTAAGAGAGTGCGAGCGGCCCCAGGGGTATGTTGGCTAGCACTCATTTAGGATTATAAACTACCGCGTGTCGAATGCTTATTCAATATATATGAGGTTTCATGACGTAGATATTCGCAAAAGTACTAGCTGGAGGCAATCGTGAGTGCTCCGTCGAGTTTGCTAGGAGGACGGTAATCGGCGAAGCAAACATCCCAACATCGACCAGTCAAGGTATGAACCTAGAATTATAACAGGATGACACATGGGGAATACTCGTAACAGCGAAAGAGCAGAATAAAAAGTACCTGCTCTGTGAACTTCTGCCTCTGCGTTTCTGATTGCAGTTGCTGAAGAAATCGTGCCATTTGCGGATCGGTGGTATCCATCCCTCTAAGTTTCACAGTTGTAAAATGAAACTTCGAAAAAAAATAAATAGAGCCGAATCATCATCGATAACGGTAAAGGTTATGGAACAACCATTCGCGAAGACACAAATAACATCACAGCTCATGTTTATTTGATATTATCGAATTTGAGATGTTCATACGTTAGTACGCCTAATGATTCCTGAGTAGAGCAACGTGAAACCTAAAAATGAATAACTGAATGACTATCCTCTTCAAAGACCTATGAAACATACAAAATTTGAGTTAAATTAAGTTGAAGTATAGAAACATACACTTTGAGTGAAATGCTAAGAACATTAGACGAGAAATCCTTCGATATTCAAGTAAGAGGCTCCATAGGCCACTGAAAACAACTTGATTACTCCATAGGCTTGTACTAATGGGATTAAACTGAAACTCAAAGGACAGTCTCATTAGTCTGTGTCGGACCACAAAGACCATGGCAGCCTTTTTGTTGTTGTTTGACTCCACCCTATGCTCAGGCTACGACCTCCAGCCTACATTTTAGGACCCGAAATATTGAAAAGTAAACACTCTTCCGCGGCGAATCCTAAAGAAAACAACTATACTGCCAAGAAGGATCCTGTGTAGCTCGCCCGGTATCCTGCCTAGCTTACAGTGCACGTCCTGCCTTTGGGGAAAAATTTTCGCAACATACGACCCCTCCTCTTCCCACTCCCCATTCGATCTAACACCTTCCTGAACTCTCCCCAACTTTCCACCACTTTTCCCCTGAAACTACGTCGAATGGAGAGGGGTCAACAGCCGCCCAGAAATGGGAAAAACCAAAAAAAAACGAGGCAAATATGGAACGACCTAGGTAGAAGCTGGGGCCGGGACCTCCGCCACTGTTTGCTTTCCTAGGCGTGAACGTCTGCAGTCTTCGCTGCTCGTTTTTTTTCAGAAGTGAGAAAACCCAAGACCTTGGATGAAGAATGGAAGGATGACGTACCCAGCGCTCAGCAACACTTTTGTATCGTGCCGCGTTTGGAGTTCTATCAGGAAGCCTCAGATGACGCTAACCCTCTAATACGACGTGGAGACCACCTAGGCCACGTCGCAACAGCATAGACCAGAACTACCCAAGGTGCTGCTCATGCTTGAGGAAGTTGCAAATACTACCTATGCTGGGTAAAAATTGTACAGACACAGAAATAGAAATCGACAAGAACCCGGAATACCGCGTAAACTTTCTTGACAGAACAAACAAAATATGAACGTGGAAACCCACCAGCCTCAATGAGGAATCCGAAAATGAAGAAGGTTCCAATATCTCTTTTGACTTTCTCGGCAGCAGCTTGCTGCAATTCGGAACTTCCTACACCACCGGGGAACATCATCTTTCTGAAATTCGGCAAATCACTGTAAAACGATAGCTCTATCATGATAGAAAAAGACACGAAATGCTAATAATAATGACCAGCACAGATAACAATACAGTGAAAATCATAATATCTTCAGCACTAACGTAGCTGGAGGGGGGCGGGGGGGGCAGATACTACCTGACCGCGCCTTTGTATTCTTTCACCAAAAAAGAACCGAGTATGCTATCGCTGCGAGGGTCCAGAGGTATTTTCTCATCTGATTTACTGGCCCAGCAGTCGAAGAGAGAAGGAAGAGGGAAGAGAAGGAAGGAAGGTGGAGAAGGAAGGAGGAAGAAAAAAAAGAGGAGGGAGGCTCCGCGGTTGACAAGTATCCTGAGACGGGAGGAGTGCAGAGAAGGCATAGTCTCCACTAAGCCTCGTACAGAGGGAGGAATTCGGGACGCTGCATGAGCGGTGCGTTAGAACAAAATCTCCTTGTTCGAACGTTTCAGTGGTGAGGGGTGGGCAAGGACGACTTAATCTGCAAACCAAATTTGTATCACAGGATTGCTGCCTATAGTTAGGATGGTTTACACATATGCCCACATTCTTAAGAAGTCCAAAAGAATGTCACTTTATAAGTATTCATCTACAGCGGTTACTCAGACTCTCTGAACACGAATTTGGCACCCATTTTTGACCATTTCAGGTCCGCGCTAATTTGCCGTACTAAAAGTCGAAGTCCATGGTGCCACAAAATTTACCATAAGCGTGCGCATAGGAACAAGTTCATCACAACGGATCTGGTTGAGAAAAAAATTGAAGGGAGAAAGGATTTTCCATAGAAGAAAGTTGCATCATGAATTCCCTTGACATCTGATGCTGTAGAAGTCGAATCGTCATTGCGTGATACTCAAGCACTTATGACCTCCTCTAGTACTTAGATTCAAGGTACCAAAGTGGTTATAAATGCACTTGGAGACACAGCTCACAGTAAAGATACAGGCGAGAAAACACGAAAGAAAAGGGCGTGCCGTTGCCATCCGAATTTACGTGCAATACGGTAACCCTCAAACGAGTAAAAGGTGTATTACACAGCTCGACGAGCACCGTACCCATGCGCGCGAATCGAAGTTTTTTGTTTCTTTTTGTAAGTTTTTCTTTTTCACATTTACGCTTGTATATTTCTACTTACAACGGTTTTATTCTGTGGGAAAAACCGCGCTCAAGTAGTTTAAGGAGACACTCGCCTATTTTTCGAAGAAGGGATACAGAGGCGCGGCCGAGTGATCCCCTCGACTTCGTTACCGTCGAAAGAACCTGGGAAATCAGGGCTAATGCCGTTTGGACTCCAGAAATTTCGGCACCGAGCTCATTTTTAAATTGCCTAAGTCACCAAATCCGCTAAAAACTTGTATATAGGGGTAGTTTAACATCCTGATTGAGAACGATTATCTGCGCTCTGCTAAGGCTGAGCCCAGGAGGTAATCGTAGTGTCCTCCTTGGCGCCAGCGACAAGAGTGAATGTCATATTCGTAATCAGGATGTTAAACTACCCCTATATACAAGTTTTTAGCGGATTTGGTGACTTAGGCAATTTAAAAATGAGCTCGGTGCCGAAATTTCTGGAGTCCAAACGGCATTAGCCGGAAATCAGAACATCATCGAGGTGCTAGCCTGGTTAAACTGAGGTATCCGCGGAGGTCACTTACCTGAAGTTTCCCATACGGATAAAATGTTCTAAACCTCAATAATAAAATGACCAGTTAAAGAGAAATGCGCATTTTGGTTATGGCAGATGTCACACAATTCCGTAGTCCTGCCTATCGGTTAACCCCGAATTAAGTCAATTTCCAGAAATGCCAGGGTCAGAGTTCATCAAAGTCACCGCACGAGTTCGTCCGTCGACTTCTTCTGGCCCAGAAAGCTGCATAGTTAATGTGCTTGATAGAAGAAATCTCAGGTTAGTTGTCTTTTTCTGCTCACGTTCTACTTTTCATCGAGTTGTTTGAAGTGTCACTACGGGGAACCCGAGGAACTTTTCTTTCGATGCCGTCTTTAACAAGGATGCCACACAGGTCTGAGGAATTCTTAAGGATTATATCAAGTTCCCTTCATCGTTGATATTCTCTCCATAGGAACAAGTGTTCGAGGAAGTCGCTAGTCATATAGTCGACGGATGTGTTGAAGGGTTTCAATGGCACCATCTTCGCCTATGGTTAGTTCGACAAGACTTGTACAGATCAGTAGTACTTTTTTTGCAAGTTTTGCTTCTTCTTTTCTGAAGACTACTTGTGCTTTTTAGGACAGACTGGTTCTGGCAAGACTCACACCATGCTCGGACCTTCGAAGATGCAGAACGTTTTCTTGAACTGTGAATATCGGGGCCTTATTCCTCGTGCATGTGATGCATTGTTCACAAAGCTTTGCACCAGAGCAGCTGAGGTATTGGGTAGCTCATTATTTTTTCGGCGCTAATTCAGCTCGGAAGGGAGGGAGGAGTATGAACCGTTGCTTCTCGACTATATCTTCTTCCCAGTGCAGTACTTGGCATAGCAGACAACCATGCAATACCTGGCAGAGCAGACAACCAGAGTCGGCGCGGCCTCACATGGTCGCCCTCCCGCGTGGTCCCTCCGATGTAAGTTAGTGCTGATATCAAAAAATACATTTCAGAAGGGGGAAAGTTATAAATATGAAGTCACGTGTAAATTTGTTGAACTCTATAATGAAGAACTTTACGATCTCCTCAGTACCTCACAACAGAAACTAACAATCCGAAGCGACTCAAAGGTACTTTTAGAGGCCTTATAGCTTTTTTGTCGCCATTTCATTCCTTCATTTTGAGGTTGTTCAACTAGTCGGTGTCTCCGAGCATCCTGCATACTCGAGCTCTGACCTGATGCGGGTACGTTGAGGGTTGCACAAGACATTTTAGCATCATTGAAAGTGCATTGCGAGAAAAGGGATGGGCGGAGACTCACAACTATTGGCTTTCCGCGTTGGTGCGCTCTTCCCTTTGATACGGTGGGAGAAGGAAGCGTCAGCGAGAAGGACCCAATGCAGTCCCTGCCCACCCCACTATTTCAGAATATTCCTCTAATGCGCATTAAACCTTATTATCTCTTTAGTAACAACCACCAATCCTTCACCTGTTTCTTCTCTCTGAAGTCTAGACATTTGTAGATCCTGGAAATGGGATGGGAGGCTAGACGTACAGCGGAAACTGCGATGAATCGGGAGTCATCACGTTCGCATGCCATGTTCATCATAGATGTAGGTTTTGTGTGCAATTCGGCTTGGGGGCGGTAGTGGAGGGGGGCACTCTGCACCAATGTCGTGTTAATTGCTTTACAACGGTTGAACAGAGTCTCGACACTCAGTACCATTCGACTTCTCAAGATTCCACAGATATCTATTTATTAGCTGGATCAGTGATGGGAAATAGTGAAAAAATGATCCCCCCCCAAGCCGAACGCAGATTTTTGTTTTTCCTTTATGCATTGCAGGTCTGTTTTCATGACGTCAATAAGTCTCCCATTCACAGGTCAAAACAGAGGAAATGGTAAATACTCTCCTTAAATAAGAAATGCGCCACATTGAATCTCGTCGATCTTGCGGGATCGGAAAGGCAAACACAAGCGAAAACTGTGGGCGATCGATTCAAGGAAGCAATCAATATCAACTTGGTGAGCATGTTCACACATTGTGGGTGTAGCTCGGCACATCCGAGCCGCGGCGAGGGCGGCGAAAAAGGGGTCATTCCTTTCGGGACCCATCTCATTCAGTGTGGCAAACCGCAGCGTGCCAAGTTGGAGGGTTGGGGAATATCTTGCTTGTTTGCCCGCGATGATTTGCCTTGGATATCAGGAACTATACCGAGTGTTCCAATAAAGACACAGTCCACGTTGATGGTATGGGCGGAGACATCCCACCATAGTGTCTTCCTCACTGGCGCGGCCTTGCCAAGATGGTAATAAAGCTGTGGGGGGCACGACGGCTGGGTGTCTCCCCGCCCATGCATCAGCATGGACTATATTTTAGGCCGAAGCAATAGGTCCATTCAATCTGCGTATTGTCAGTTAGCTAACACTCTCTCAAAATGAAGATGTAGAAACTACTTCTAGGAGTCGTCTTTTTTAGTCTCTCACTGTCCTCGGTCGCGTTATTCGGAAATTATCTGCAGCGAAACGCCGTGATGAACACGCTCCATATCGAGACTCAAAATTAACCCACATCCTTCGCGATTCACTTGGAGGAAACAGCAAAACAGCTGTCATAGTAAATGTACATCCTGATGTGGAGTGAGTTTGGCATTCATCATTATTAGCCTACCTCATTTCTAATTGTTAGCACACTTATTTGTTAACCTACCTCATTCTGGCTGGTTCGTCGAAAATAAATCAATACAAATTTTCGCTTGAAGTCCTTCCGCGCTCGTCGCATGGGCGGGGACATAGGACATCTCACTGTAGCGTCCTTTTTCTGCCATTTGAGAAGGAGGGACGGGGCGCAGCGATGGGCACTACACCATAGCGCTTGACTTCATTCAAGTGAATAAAAAAGTTCCCTCGATTTTAGTACTGGTTCTGAAACTACTTCAAGATGTATAACTGACAATTGTAGGTACTGCTCTGAAACCTTGTCTACGCTACAGTTTGCTGCTGCTTGTGGTAAAATTGAAAATCGAGTGCATGCAAATGAAGATCTATCTGGAGATACTGTAATGGCATACAAAGATGAAATTACTCGCCTGCGTGAGGAATTGAAAGCGATTGAAGAAAGAATCCGTTCAGGTACATTCTTGTATGCTGGGGCATTTCCTGAGGGCTTCGTTTAGCGCCAGCTTTTTCTCCACCGACAGATGAAAGGGGCTGGCGACATCAAAAACGGTGGAAGATGGACTGACACCGTGACAAATGCACCCCCCTCCCCTCACACGCCACAGCATCCGCAGCCAACAAGACTATGTACATTGTTGCATTTACTAGCGCGATGGTTGTGTCACTGATTGCATGTCACTGTTTTGAATAACAAGATTATAAGTTCAGGTTGTCAGGCAATTACAGTACCCCCCAAATTTGCGCGTCAAGTGAAAAACATCCATGTTGAGTGCACCACCACACTACATTACACGCCAAACACATAGTAGTCTTGCGACTCGGCACTCACACGGCACTCATTAGCGCAATCACCGCCATTTAGCACACTGATGAGGCTGTGCCTGACAGATCCTTTGGGGCAGGCAGCCCTGGCAGAAGACAATAGTAATGTAAGGATGGTGATCATGTCCATAACCTGGACGTCTAGATCTGTGTAAAAGGTTCTGCAAGCGTGAAATTCATTGATTCCACGGTTGTTTTTAGCGGCGGCGCGGCAGGCAGCTCCAGGTTGAGCGGATGTGATATTCGTGTTCAGGAGGTCGAACAACCCCCGAGCACAAGTTTTCTGCGAATTCGGCAATCCAGGGTACCATTGCGAGGGTGCCAGGCAGTTCCATCTTGAGCGGATGTGACACCCGTGCTTAGGTAGCCAGTCTACCTTAAAGCGCAAGTTTTCGCCGGATTCGGTGGTCGTGGATATCCAAGCTGCTTTAGGCTGAGCGGATGTGACATTCGTGTTTAGGAGGTCGAGCATATCGTACGCAGCCCGAAACGTACCATTTCTCAGCTTTGTATAAGTTTACAAGACTTTATAAAGCGTAACACCACATTCACAAGTGTTTACAAAACGTCTTCTCTCTCCTTTCCCCAGAGCGGAGTACCGCCCTGAACACTAGTGATTGTCTTCATTCAACTTTGGCTTGATATCATTTATCATTTATAGTGCAGGTAACAGTTTGAGAATGTATGCAGAATGTAAGCGGCATAGCAAGACTGCGTCCATAATTTGTTGTAGCGTTAAGAGCGTACGCGGAACGCGCTTTAGAGCGGCTGGGAAAGCATAGAGATCGAACTACATGCGCGTACGTTTTAGCGTTTTCAGCGCCTCCCGCGAACAGTCCCAAACTATAAGCAAACGCTCAAAAGCTGCTAAATCGATGTCTACACTTTCATAGTTGCTCAAAACGCTGCTTACGCTCGAAACGCCCAAGACGCTGACGCAAAGTATTTTACACCAAAGTAGACAGTAAAGTTACGTTAACAGTCACACAGCTTTATGGCGGATTTGGTGATTTTGGGTATCCTGGCGCCAGCGCTGTGGCGCGGGGCCTGGCAACTTAACGCAAAATTAATGTGATTCCCCTATTCAGGTGGTTGAATTTCCCGCATAACGAACTCGAAAGTTTTCAACAAACTCTGCAGCCACACGCGCAAAGAAATATCGGCGGACAAAAACTAGATTCTTTTTGAAAAATCTGTGTAGGAATAGTTAATAATAACGATAACTATAATGACCGTATAGTGATATGCTAGAAGTATTAACATCTAAATTGTCCTTAAACAACACATTCTGCAGAGAAGTAGTGAGATTGGCGTGTAATGTAGTGTGGTGGTGCACCAAACATGGAAGTTTTTCACTTGACGCGCAAAATTTGGGGGTACTGTAATTGCCTGACAACCTGACCTTAATAATCTGTAACTGTTTGATACCTAATTAATCTCTAGAATCGCGAATATAAGTTGGATACACTAGTGGTAAGTATACCAAGCAGTGAAACGCCTCATTTCTTTCTTACTCAAAATCTAGTGGAATCGTGCTGCTGCCCCACCCAGCTTTGTATCTGTGATAAGCGTTCCAGTAGGCCCTTTACCATATTGCACTAAAGCGCGCACAATATTTCATGAAGTCGGACGCGGACTGTTTGATTGCCTTCGTTTATTGCCCTTTCTAAGAAGTGCGTGGCTATTCATCTCGCTCATTTAATGTGTTTTAGAAATGACTGCGAAGCTAACTTCACTAGAAGAAGAAGTGGAGGTATGGAAAAGAGCTGCTATTGCTCGTGAGAAGGAGGTTGTCGAATGTCAGCTGCGATGCAGCTGGTTATCTGCCGGCAATTGACAAAGGGATCTATTGAAATCAATGACAAGAAGGTAGCAGTATATGTAAAATTTGGTATGTTCCACTAAATAATCGCTCATAGGCGTGTGGAGACGCAACGCGTGCCATCGTATCTGAGCTTTCGAAAAGGATCGAGTTCATCAAGACGTTTGATGACCTCTCTAGAATTCAGCTCGAAAACAATTTATCTAATGTAGGCAGGTTACGATTTTTATTTGCGCTAAGATGTGACGTACAGTCATTAGCGCTGATGCAAGTTGATTCGGTTCACCACCTTTTTACCATACGATTTACGCTCCATAATCAGAAATGTTTGCACTCAATTCTCAGCAAATTTAGGCCTATGGTGAGCTAGAGCAGTTGCGTGCACGCTGCGAAAATGCTGAAGCTGCGAGAAAAGCAGTAACCGAGAAATACAATGAACTTCTGCAAGAATGTAACGAAACGCTGTCTGTACTGCCTCTTCACGACCTCACTCTGAATACGGTATGTTTGCGGTCACGCCTGCAGCACACATTTGATATTTTCTACCGTTTGGTGAAGCTGGGATATTTCTACGTTGGTGGAAGTGGGGAGTGTCCAAGGACATAGCTGAGAGCTCGGTGTGTTCATAGAAAGCTGCCGTTTTAGAGGGGCCGTTACAGGGTTTTTGACCCACCCTGTAACGTTGAGACATGGACTGCTTCGAAGGAAGCGCCATTTGGACTGCTAATACTGGGGTTCTGCGAAACTTTGAAACTATCCGAATTCTCCGTTATGTGAAGCCAAAAGTAAGATGATTTTTTTCAGCCTCGAAAATTCGAAGACACCTGTAAAACTTCACATCGAAAGAATGAACGCCGCAGGACTACATTCGGGCAACTGGCCGATCAGTCCAGCCGAAATCGTCGAGCAGTGGAACCGGTTCTGAACGAGTTCGATGCACTAAATAACAGGGTATGTAAAATAAACATATTGATTAACACATAGTCATTGGACATTCACTAAGAGGCAACATTGCGCATTATTTTGTCGTTTCCAGGAAGTTGTAGAGTATGGGGAACCATTTGAAGCAAATGAAATGTTGCGTTTGGAGATGGAGAATAATAGATTATCACAGATCATCTGCGAAAAGGAATTTGCGATAAAGAACATCTATGAACTGCAAAAAGAGCAGGCTGAACAGTGGGTGAAGGAAAGACAGGAGCTTCTAAGGATGTTAGTTTATACGTGCCAATCCTTTTCCCAACATTTAAATGGCTAAAGAGTGAAACTCTTGCAGCGATTCGTTGATGAAGTCGCAGCTTGAAGATCTCAAATCGGAGAACAACACACTTCGCGAGAACTTAGAGCTATTCAAAAAGAGGACAGAAAAGCTCGGAGCGAGCATCTCTGCGTGCAATGATGAAGTAAGTAATCTTGCTTCTTTATTCGGTTCTAACGTGGTTGAGTAAGAGGTACCACACGGCTTTCCTACTGATTTGTGTTCTCACAGAGATAGCGATACTTTCCCCTCCCCGTGCTCAACCCTGAGAGGGCGCAGACACCGTAATCCGCGTCTTCTAAGTCCTAAATTCAACCATATTTCTCTAGCGATGTCGTCTGCAGCAAGAAATTGACGAGCTGCACTCTGAGAAACTCGATCTGGAGGATCGACTCCAGGGTATGTTTGTCACTTTGCTAAGTCATAAACACTTTCTTTTGATAATTTTGTCTTCACTTATAGCTATACAAAACGAGCAGGAACTGATGTCAACGGTGATAAAGGGTGTAAGTAACCTAGTCACTTTTCTTGGCCCTTTCGGTACCTTTATAATACTGTCTTGACAGCTGATGTTGTAGGAATTGGTTGCTACCAGCCTAGATACTGATATCCAGGTGGCACGGGAACAACAACCTCAGAGAAAAACCTGTTGCTGAGAAAGATCCTCAACGTGTACGGGGGAAAGTCAATACTCAGAATGTCAAATTTGATGAGCTCAAGCTAAAATCATATTCGAAGGTAATTTTCGACTATCAATAATTAACATGATCGTTTAAAATGGTTTCACGTTTCACGACTTTTGCTAAAAACTGCGGTTCAAAGGTAGTTGGGCAGGGACGCGATTGGGATGCGCCCACTCTGGTCGTCCAGGATCAGCTTAGGGGAAAGACGATCGAGGTGTAAATGAGCAGAAAAGGTGACGCAGTTGGGTGCACGCAGATGGGTGCCCTCAATCCACCCAACTACCGTACTGCCAAAGTTGTTCTGCGTTTTATTGTTGCGGGGCATTCCGTGATTTAATCAGTGATATTTCAAGCAGCACTTCCCAACATATCGGAACACGATCGAAGACTCATTCGACCATAAGTTAGCCGAACTTCGCGCGTGAGTGTTCGCAGGGTTCTTCCCGTTTCCTTTTTTTCAATTTTCTCTTCTGAAAGCGGATTTTTTGACTTGATTGTTCTTTGAAGGATAACGCGAGAGCTCTGTCTGTAATATTATTGGATATGATTGAATGAGCAATTGTTTTTTTAGCCACCTCCCCACCCACCTTCTCCACTGCAGAAAGGCGTGGCACTGACTTATCCACCAGCGAAAGAACAAAGGAACAGAAAGTTGTGAAGGAGCGGTCAAACAGGGTATTGTGAGTTCTTTGCTTCCTAGATTTCTGCAATACCACTGCAGCACTTTCGGGGTAGTTTCTGATCCTCCGCCTCAGATCATTCATAGGTTTGTCTGGGCACAAGCGTGGTGGAGGGCAAAAGAAAAGAGTCCGCACATTATAGCAAATGAACTGAATGGAGGCTGCTTTGCCAGTTCCAAATCTTCAGTTTCATGGCCGTCTTCGAACTTTCAAGAAATAGTTAGCCATGTTAACAGGTTACTCGATAAGCCTGTAATATTGGCTTGCCTGAAGCAAAACAGACGAACGCAACCGATGAGTGGATCTGGAAAACGAAGTAGGGCAGATTTTTCTTGTGGGCCTTTTTGCCATTTCGCCAATATTTTCTTTCCTTAAGGAAACATTACCTCAATATTTTTTTTTAGAATATGGAATAAACCTGTAACAGTCGAACAAAAAGACAATTCCAGTGCCACGGTTCCTGAAGGTAAAGAGAATCATAAACAAGGAGGTAAATTTGCCTAATTGTATGCTATATAAAGCTCACTATGAAGTCTCTTTTCAAGTGCCTGAGCAAGGTACTGATTGGAGGTTGCTGTCTAGCGGTGATGTATAGCGCTGTCCAATCGCATTGACAACGGGTGTCGAGTTCTTCTGGCGAGCGTGGATCTCCCTTCTGTCTTCAGTGTCGCTTCTTCGTTCGATATAATTTCATCACTTTTGCGTTTGATTAGTAGTTATTGGGCTGGTCAAACCCTGCTCAGACCATTCGCACGGCTTCAACGCCCAAGTACGATGATTGAATGGGCGAAGACCTCATACCCTGATTCCTGCCTCATTCGTCTCTCAGACCTGTCCTGTGTGCCCATAGCAAAGCAGGATGGGGGATGAGATCTCTGCCATTTTGTTCCTTTCTGCCCGTCTGCTGAGGCCTTAGAGTTGCTCAAATGTAGTATGACGATCTCATAAGTTATTTACTCGGGTTCCATCTAGATCTCAATTTCCTTGCGCTGTCGTAGATTTCTCGAGACAAATCATGATCTCTAGGCGCTGTTCGGCTTGGGGGGCCTTCTGTGTTTTCGCTAGTTCCTTTTGTTCGTTCATGTTAACTAACAAGTCTCACTTTGGTCGACCTGTAAACTGCTGTGAAGCTGCTAACTCGTTCGAGACACTCTCTTCATATAAATCTACAGGTCTACACAATGTGACATGTAAGAGTTCAGATGAGTACCATCTGGTGCCACCACCAAGCCGAAGTGAGCCGTTGCTCGGTTTTGTGCCAAATGTTTCAGCGATTTTACCCATCCCCCCCCCCTTTGCCAGTTGATATACAACTACAATAGGGTTCGTAGGTTACCACAGCGCTGAGAAGAAGAAATTCCGTTATGGGAAGGGTGAAAGAAACCCCACCACGTACACAGTCTCACCGCCCTACTGATAGGATTGCGCGATCGGTTCTGCCCTTTTTGGGGGATCTAGCCGCTGGCGCTCCCAGGAGTGATTCATCTAGAGGCACCCACTCCATATCCAGTTACAGTGCTGTTCAACCAGCCCGTACAGCGGAAGCGGGAGAGAAGTTGTAGACAGTACCCACATGTGCTCCCTTGGAGTACTGGTCAACTCATGAGAAAAATTTTGACCGAACTTCAGAACTTTTCTAAGGAAGCGAGGCCTTTCTCATTTGTGCTTTTGGGACCAGTCAAGTGTAAGGACTAGATAGCAAGTTGATTTGTACGTATTGGTTTTAATCAAGGAACACAGTAGGTCCAAATCCAAGGCAGGTGGCCTCCTTGGACTGTTTTTCCAGATAGAAGTCACTAACAGGGAGGTCGTTCAGGGCGTGGTGCGCTTTTCGAAAACGGTTTTTGCATATTGTAGGGGCTCATGCAAGGACCTGAAAAGTGTGCTTCATTTTCGCTGCGCGCTTCCAGGAAGGCTAAAAAACGAGTTGCTGAAAATGAAATCTCTTGGAACTCTGCTCCGTTGGCTAGGGGTCGCGTTACAGCTTCGACAGTAGCTGAGTGGGGGGGGGTCCTTATAAAGGGGCTATTTGAATCGAAGCGAAAAATCGCCGCAAGTGAGCTTCCAACTTGGGTCACGTGCTCAAGGGGTGAACGGCTTCTTGCATGGTTTCATCAACGATAAGAGCGGTGCGCACAGTCGAGCATCGGATGGCCTAGCGGGTATAGAGCGTAGGTTCTCGCAATCGGAAAGCGAGGGAGGGGTTGATGGTTCGGTTCCTTGCGTCGTGACTTTTTGCATTTTTTTTTGATTTCGCTGTTTTCGCTTCCATTTGTATCTGCGCATGAATATAACTCGGATATTT